TGCCCGGACTGTGCAAGAGGGTGGGGAACGGGGGGACTGCGGTCAGCCTACCGATCCTTCCTCCCCGCACTTTTCCCCGCTCCCGCTGTCCCCTCGGGGCTCGCAGGGCTGTTTCTCGCTAGCTGTTCCTCGCTCAGCCCTGGCTGACGGGCAGCGTTTTTCCCGGCCTTGCCCAGGCTTTCCCCGGGGCTGGGGGGCTCAGCCCTGCCCTGCGCTGGGGCCGCTGCAGCCGCCGGCACCGCCCGGGACCGGCCCGGCAGCCCCGGCACTGCCCCGGCACTGCCGCCACCTCCGGGGCACCTCGGCCCGTAAAGCACCTAGCAGATTGCCTTTGTTTGTCTTCTTAAAAGTAAATATTTAAAAGTGTATAAATATTTTGCCTCATTGTGTTGCATATGTGTACCTTTCACTGTGGGGGATTTGTCTAAAAGGAATGAGCTGAGCACTCGGTATCACTGTGCCACCCCAAAAGCTCAAAGCACAGAAGTAATTCTCTGCAGTGTTCGTACTTGGTGATACAGTATAGACAAACAAATATTGAAGATTAAAGCACTGCATCTGACCTCCATCTAAGGAAATTCTCCCTAGAGCTCATGATCCATCCTCTAGGTTCAGTCCACTGGGTTCTGCATAGTGCTGTGAAAACTATTAGAAAATTGCCATGAGATGAACCATAGTTTCTTGATAATACTTATAAAAAAGAATTCAGGTCACGAGCTTTCATTGATTTCTTTCTGTGTACCTTGAAACATATTATGAATTTTGATGCAGTTATTTAGAACCTAGATATAGTTATTAACATACAGGGATGGTAGAATTGGTGGGCTCAATAAAGTGTAAATGTTTTCCAAAAGCTATTAGTTTGTAAGTGCTCTCAAATTACACTCTTGTCTTAGTGAAATTGAGACAAAACTGAGAATTATTGACAAATTCAATTAAAAAAAGAAAATTCCTGTGCAGAATATCAAATGTGTACTGGCTGTGTAGAATAAACATTACTTTCAATAAATGTTTGTTTAAGCAGCATAAAATTTCATGTTTCATTGGCAAACTTTTGAAAAATAATTTGAACTTTAACAGGAACAAATGTGCTAGTGAAGTTTTAATAAGCAAAGAGAGGTAGTCTGTTTTTCATTATGATCAGTACCTCAGTTTTTCAGTTAAAACAAAAAAGCCATAACAGTTTCATGTAGTCTATTATTGTATCAGCTTTTTGGTCTTGTCTCCTGTATTTTAAAGGTCACTGAGTCTAATGTAAAGCTTTGACCTTCCATTGTGGTTGAGGTTGAATGCTATGGTTACATACAGTTAAAAAAATTAGCTTTATAATACACAGGTAGTGAATATTTATTCTTTTTTTTGGAATTCTCTTGGGAATGACTCCATAACAAAAGGCATGGTCTCCAACTTGAGGTCTTTATGACTGTCACAGTCCTCTGGATTAAAGCTCTATGGGGAAGTGTATGATTATGTTAATTCTAAAAAAAAAAACCCTGGTGTAGACAGCTGTTTATCTACAGCAGATTTGTGTCCAAAGGAATAATCTGTATGAAAAGCTGCAGTTTATACCATCGGAAGTCCATCAAGACCCTTGTCAGTTTTTCTTCATAAAGAATTTTTAGCTCCTTTGTAGTTAAGGGCTAATGGGAAGAGTATGTAACTGGATGAGTTCTCCTGCAATACCAGACAAGTCTTTTGTGGATCCATTCTATGTCTTCTGGTCCCTTTGGCTCTGTGCACCTACTGACTGCTTAATGCCTACTAAATGTTAAATGTAGAAGAGAGCACCAGGATCTGCTGGTATTTCAGAAAACTGTGAGATTTGTGTGGGACAGAGGACATATATTTTATTTGTGCCAGATGGGAAACAGTTCTCAGTGGCCTTTTTCAGATTTTAAAGCACACATTTTCTTTTATTATGATAAAAATGGAAGCTCCTTGGCTATTATTATCTCCCTGACTTTCAGGATTTTGCTTTATGTCTGTCAAGCACACAGTATGTATGGGGGGTAGGGAGAAAATAATTTCACCTCTTGGCTGCATAAATACTTGTACTGGCATAAGTGAAGAGGTGGTATAAAATGTAGATTTAGGGTATTGTATTGGTTTTGGCTGAGATCGAGTTAAATTTGTTCATGGTAACTTTTATGGGGCTGTGTCTTGCTGAAAAAGGTGTTGACTCCCTGGTTTTGTTACTGCTGAGCAGTAACACAGCAGCAAGGCCCTTTCTGCTCCTCAGACTGCCCTTCCAGCAGGTTGGCTGGGGGTGCAGGGAAGCTGGGAGGGGACACATTTGGGACAACTGACCAAAAGGTCAGCTTATAAAATAGTGGGGAAAGTTAGGGGGTGTGTCGTGCTCAGGAATTAGCTGGACATTGGTGAGTTGGTGGTAAGACATTTCATTTCCATCACTTTTTTTGGCTTTATTGTCTTCTCTTTTATATTTTTCCTGTTTTCCATTTTAAAAATAATGTTGATTTTTAATTATCAATTGGTTTTATGTCAACTCAATTTTTTTCACTTTCAGCCTTCTAATTCTCTCCCCCATCCCACTGGGGGGTCAAGGGGACAGTGAGTGAGGGGCTTTGCACTGCTTAGTTGCCATCTTTAGCAAAACTATGAGAGGTATATTTAAAAAATATATGAAACTTTGACTTTCTAGTAGCCAGATGCATTTTCAGGGATAATTTAGTCTTCTTGGATTCAGAAGTCTTTTGAGATTAAAATGCAATCTCAAAAATACACTGCAGCCCTGATCAGATTCTTTGCAATCAGATTGTTTGGGGTTTTAAGTCGGTACTGCTCATATCAACTCTGTTAAGTCAGCTTTAGTTTGCCACAAGAAAAAATATGATTGAGCACTGTATTTTGATTGCTGGTCTAGTCCCAAACAGGCAAAAGAGCTAACCCAGATGAGGATATTTTGCTTTTTCATATGTGGATATTTAACTTCTGTTAATTCAAGGTATTGCTCAGATTTGTTGATCTGCTAAGTTTATTGCCTGGACAGCCTCAGGCTTATTCACAATTAAAATATATAAAACACTGTGCTGTTGAAAGTAAAACACTTTACCATAAGAAGTAAAAATTAATAGAGTTGGAAGATTTTGCTGGGGTTTTCATGAGACATATGCAAGTGAAAATAAGTTCCTGTGTACTGAAAAAAAGCCCTGAAACAAACCAACCCCCTGAAAAATCTACTTTGGGGAAAATTTCTTATATTTTAAAACACAGATATATATAACCAGTTGAATTTTGAAAAGATTCCTGCCTCAGTGGCAAAATACATTGACTGTATAAAGAGAACCAGATTTCATGAATGGCTGTATTTGAAACAAAATATGTGATTACATACAATTTTCTCTTTAATTATATGTCTCTCACATCATTAATTTAACAACTACATAATTAAATAATAGCTATAATTCCTTGGTGAGAAGATTATTAGCAAAATTTAGAGAGAAGCTGAGCCTGATCAGAGTTTTGGAAATTTTAATTTGGAGTGGCTTTGACCATCATTCTGAGTATTTTGAAACTAGAGCAATCTCAGATGCTTTCATTTATTGTGTTAGATACGTGAGTTATCAGCATGAATAACAAATACTCCATGGTCATCTAGCTAGAGCATGAGATACTTCAGTATAGATGATGTGCTAACTTTTAATTTCTTCTTGTAGCTTGATGAACTCAAACAGGTTCACTGCTGTCCTCTATGCCTTGCAAGAGCTGGGTGTTTAGTTTCTTTTTTAGTAACAGATCACTAGAAATATCAAATGTCTTATCAATTCCATGATAAAGACAATAATTAAAAAAGAGAAAGCAGCTAATAATGAAGAAATGTTAAAGGTAATAAGTATTTTTCTATAAATTCTGTAATTAAATTCTCCAGTTTCATTTTCAATGTAATATCTGTGATCAAATATTTTATTTGATTTAGATTTTTTTATTCTATGTTGAATGTTAGATATTTCAGTGAAGTCCTTTGTTTTATGTCACCCAAATTGTCTGAAATTTGACATATTGATACAAATTAGTTGCATGATATTGAAAGTAAATCCACATACACAATAGAAAAACTTAATACCTCTGAAAAGAAAATACCTCTCAAGACTACTGACTCAGGCAAAGGCTGGCCTTCATGATACCAGAAACAGAGCTGTCTTCACACATTTAATCCATTGCCCACCATATGCCTTATCCATACCTGAAATGGTTGGTAGGACTTCTTCTGCAATGCTGATAACAAAATGCCCACTTTGTCCAAGCTAGAAAATCCATTCAGGAGAATTAAACAAATTTGGTTTGAACACCACCAATCATTTTGGACAGATTTGGCTGAAGTGGAATTCTGGTACAGAGAGTTGGTAGCACCAGTTACAGCAAATAAATTTCTGGCAATAAAACTCCAGCATTAAATGGATTGTGCAAAACCTGAAAATTAACTGTCTGAGATTTGTATTCATTTTCCTCATACCTGTAGGCCTGAGAGCAGAAAATCTTACCTTATTATATGAATGGTCCTGCAAATTTCATAACAAAATTAAGTGTATTTATAGTTGGGAAAATGTCAATTTAAAATATGGGGTATTACAGTCACTTTGTAAAGAAGTATTAATCAGATGCTACTTAAGTTAATAAAGTGACAGAATTCAGCAATTGCAAAACTTTTGAGACGATCCAACACCTTGAAAAATAATTAGTTTTTATTTTGTGTATTTATCTTTTGTGTTTGCTTTATATGAACACCAAGTGTTTTGCTTGTATAAATATCCTCAGAAAAAGCATTTTACCCAAATTCTCTGAATGCACAGTACATATAAACACAATCCATCAATACAATTGTGATTAAAATGAAAAGTTATTAAGTAATTGAGTTTGAGTTATCCTTGGTTATTTAGCTATATGTTGTTTCTTGCAGAACATTTAAAGTATTTGAAGTATTTTTCAAAGCATCCCACTACTTGAAGAATGACAAGTAATCAAACTTTCTATTGGAGTAGGTCAAAGGATGTTCTCTCATTGTAAGTACATTTTCCATTTTTAAGGCTTAGAATAATAGAATAAACTTCATGTTTGTTAGTTTATCCATAATAAGCTGTGAATTTTTTTAAAAAATTGATTTCTGGGAAGGACTATGCATTCTGAAGCTGGTCTTGTAAAAGTAATAGCTCTCTTAATAAATTCCTGAACTCCTGAAAGAATGTAGAGCAGCAAACCCAAAAATATGGAAGGATTGGATGCTCATACTCAGAAACAGATCAATATTTAATGCAACTTTCAGAACATTCACAGTATTCTGAAGAAAAAAAACAATTCTTAGACTCAACACATATTATATTTTAGTACAGAATGTCCTAGGCCTGCTACAATTACTGTATGTTTTAAGTCAGATTCTGCCACTGTTCTGTCTAATATCTGCTTGAAAAATAGTCCCATTGTCATCCTGGGTGAAATCCTGAGTGTCCAATTTAACAAATCTCTATATGAGTCTGAATTAGAAGCCTCATTAGAGTGTACTTAGAACACAGGTTTGTGCCTTTGTCACACAGGCTGTGTGCCTAAGGTTAGGCAGCAATGTGAGTATTTGTAGAGTGCAACCGGAAAGTCTACTGAAATACTATTATGGACTCTGATCTGCAAAAAATAGGAAATAGAGATTTTGATAGGTTGAAATAAAATCACTGTCACTAGAAACAATATTTTTTACAGTTGTATTAAAAGTTATGCACCTGGAAACTTTTGATCAAACCCTGGGTTAGGACATCAAATATTTACCTGTCTCTTGCTCTTAAAAGTTTCACAGTAGATGCTTTACATTTTTAGATCCGAAACATATTTTCACTGTCCATTAGCATGATTTTCACTAATAGAGTTTGAAATTATACTAAAAATTATTATGTTAAGTTTTACATTCTACCCTAAGTAAAAGATTTAATAGTTTCTCAGAGGAATCTGATCACCTGTGATACCTAAAGAATGTCAACAGACAATATGGAATGTTAACAGAAGAAGAATGGAAAGGAATTAATACACAATGTTGAATAAATTCTTTGTCTTTTTTTCTGGTTTGATAGCTGAATTTGATCTTGTTGTAAAGAATTTGGCTGGAGATGGGTCAGCACTGGAAAAAAATAAAAGGTAAGATATGAGAAAAATCATTTGGGGGCTGAGAGATCATATGGTTTATACATTTAAGTAAGCTGTTTCATTTGGGAAGTGAGATGTTTGCCAAGGAACCAAATACTTAGAAAATAAAAATCTGTCAGGGACAAATCTCAGTGTTAGGATTTAGAAGTTTTTTAGACCCTGAAGAAAAATCATATTTGTTGTTGATGTAGGAATAAAAGGGAAAGCAGAAGAGAACTCAGAAATGAAACAGAAGGGAAGATTTCTTTATTAGGGAAACAATAGGGAAAAAATTATCTGCATACCTGAAATACAGTTTAGCATTTTTGTCATGGTATTGGTACTCTTGGCAAGATTGGTGTTGTGCTTTTGTTGATTTGTTTTTAACTAAAGGGTTTACTTTAAAAAGGTCCTTCCATATTGTTTGGGATTGACTTTATTAGGGCACACGTGCCAGCCTCTACACTGTGTGATGAAGAATGATAGAATGCTTTCAAGTGGAACTGAGTGTATCAGGCTTTGAGACCCAGTTTCTACATAAAAGTGGGTTATTTGATTAGAGAGTCACTAAATCAAACCTGAAACCACAGTCTATGGAGACATATGTCTAGAGCTACCTAGTTTCTATAAAATCAGACACAGACATTTTAAATGCTGTTTCAGTTTAGGAAATAAATCCATTTATGCTAATCATTTTCAGATAACTTACATAGTATTTAATGGTGTAGAAATAGCACTGTTGAATATACACTTGGTAAATGTGAGGAGTTTTTAGATTCCAGGAATTTCTATTTCAGATAATCACAGTTTACAGGGATCCATTCAAAAAGTCTGCTCAGGCCAGTTGTGCTGACTTTTGGTAAATTTTTTTTGCTATTTGAATTCCAAAACTACTAGTTATTTCTTATTCAAGTGAAGACAAAAAAGGTCTACAATTCAGCTGATGCATATTTTTTTACTTCTAGTTAAATAAGGATGTTCCTAGAAATATTCAGAAAAGTTGTCTTTATCTGTAATATTCTTTGTCATTTCTTCAGTTCCTATCTGTCAGTCATCCAGTTCAGAGACATTTTAGTTGATAGGTTCAATTAAAGTATCTTTTAACATGAATGCACCTATAGATGTGTCAACATTTATTGTCTTCCATGACTAAGTATTAATCCTTGCTAATCCAGCAAAATTGAACACTTAATAGTATCTTATGATTTACAATTTTTTTCTAACAATAACAGGAAAGCATTTATCTTCATACTACTGGAAGTAAAAATCAGAAGATAAATAGTTTTGGGGTAGATTCATCATTCCTGGTGATTATCTTAGCCTGTGATGGTTGCAAATATGTTGATTTTAAAATAATTTATCTCTATAAGAATGAAGAAATTACCCCATACAGTGACTGGAACAAACCCAAACCTGCTTCATATTTTTTTTCAAGTGAATATGTAACTCCTCTCATTTACTATGCAAAACCAGTTGCCTTGAAACAGCTGACTATTTTACTCAATCTTCCATATTGTTCTATTTATTTCAGTCAGAAAAATAGAGCATATAGTTAAGATTTAATTTCCTTATTTACTGAGTCTGTATGAGTGTATTACTGCTACTGAATACCTGTATAAGCTAATGTGAAGTGAGAGTAAGGCTTTCACTCAGGTGCGCACAAGAATGCGCAGGAACAGCTACACAATGTTGCAAACAGCACCTGCTAAATAAAAGGGGTTGACATATATTACATGATTAGAATATTATTTCACTGCCAGTATATTTAACTTTCTCAAAGGATTCAGTCTGACAGTCTAGTTTGACTAGAGACAAAAGAGGTACATTTGATTAGAGAAAATATTTTGGTATGTGTCAACTGAGCAGTTAGTGACTTATAGTTTTCAAATGATCTGTCACCTACCTCAAAAGTCCTTAATTATTACTCATTCTGAGTCTTGATTTTGCTAGTTTTTCTGAATTTTCTTATATACATTTCATAATCTAAACTGCTGAAAGAGCAGATAGAAGAAATTATAGCCAGATTCTCAGATTTAGTACTTTATCCAAGGTGTGGTTTCATCAGTTTCAATGGAATAAAGCACTAATATAATCTGAGTAAGTATGTGAACTTGCTGTAATAAATCTGATGGTGATTTGCCAACAGCTATCTGTGTCATTGTTGTGCCTTACAGAATAAGAAAACAAATTACCATCTGTTACTGATGAAAAGGGGCATGTAACATATAAATCGGCTACTAGAATAGGATATGTCCCTCCTAACTCTGCTTCTTGGTATTAGTAAGCAGTAGTGGATGGAGTGTGCAGAACAGATAAAATACCAGGTATTTTATGATTATGATAGAATATATTCAGAAAATATGTAATATGGTATTTTTATACCAATTTCATATGGTAAAATCTGAAAAGCTACCAAATAGAGTTTTATTTTTCTTAATAACATTACTTGCTCCAAGTGAAATTGCAATATAATTTCCATACTTTCTGAAAAACTCACCTTTAAAATGTTGAGACAGTCATGAATTAGCAGATGGACATAACAGGATCTTCTCTAATCAAGCCCCTGGTACTCAGTCTGACTTAGCTTTATTTGAGCCCTTGTAAAATCTCATTCCACAGGCATCCCATGTCTTCTGCTGCTTCTCTAAAGTTTGTCCTTGGCAAACCAGATACGCCTCAACCCACAGGCTTATTATGGCATTCAGCATTAGGAAAATAATCATTGTAATATCAATTAATGAAATAAGAAGGAAGCCAGTTTTAATTTAATCATTTCAGAAAACAAAATATGTTGATCAAACACAATTACTTAAAGGTGCCTCAGAGAAGAAAATTGGGTCTGTGCCCTCTTTTTTCATTATGAAATATAAACAAGATCAGAAAGTTTGTTATTTTTCTTTAAATAAATGTTGCTTATATTCACATTGAATATTAAAAATCCAAATTAGTCTCTGTCTTGAAACATTTTGCAGGCAAACTAATTAACACCTTTTAGTAGCAGGCAGCATTTTTTAATGTCAAACAACATGTAAAAAAGAGTAAGATATGTTCTCATGTCATTGACATGAGTCACACATAGGCACGAGTACAGGACTGTCTCTACCTGATACTTTGGCAGCAACATTTCTGCAACATTAGTTGTAGAATATTTTTAAGCAGAACCTGGCAATCATATTGATCATGGCAACAAGACTGACAGTGAATAAGCATCACAAAAACTGTACATAAAAGGTCTGAAGTTCTCCAAAAACTGAAATGAGATCTCAAACTTCTCATTTGATCATACTGCTGAAGACATTATTCAGCTAGCAGGGACAATTTTAAAAACCCAGGGGTATGAGTGAGTTACCTTCTAGTGTTTGCAGCCAGCCTGGAAACTGGTCCATAACTGGTCTAATAATTTACATGCTTGCTTCTCAGCAAACCTGAAAGCATTTCCAATTGATTTTAGTGTGTTGAAATCGATGTCCTCATTATTCTCTGTGCTATCAACATCTAGAGCATATCTGGAATAGGAGCAATAATGGTACTATTGCCATATTTATGAAGCAATAATAATGACTCTAGTGAAGTTAAACTGAAGATATGTAATAAAAGGAAGGATATATGCCAAGGAGTGTAATCATGGCCATTTTTTTCCTTATCCTGACTGAAAGAATATCTTTCTGTGAGCAGACAGATTTAGAAACAGATTCTGTGAAAGAGGAAGGTAGAGAAAAGGGCAGTGTGTGATAACAACTGCTCTCTGGCTCTAAAGGGAACATTCTCAGCTGGATGGAAAAGGTGAAGATTACTATGTCATAAATTTTTAAAGACTCTCATTTTTTCCAGTGTTGTCACAAAACTGTATCTGTTTGTTGAATAAGGAAATTACAACTTTAAGTCGCTGGAAGCTGCCGCTGTCAGCAAGGATGCCAGTTACATTTTTGGAACAGTTTCTTACTACACCATCTGGATGCCTTTAGTACAAAGTCCAAAGATGAAATCACATGGGACCACATTTGTAACAGTCATACTTATTCAAGAATAGGAAACATTTTGCAATATTTATGTGCTGGGGTTTTTTTTCCCCCTCCATACACAAACACTCAACTAAATCCTCAATAATATACAAGTAAACTGGATTTCTCAACTTTTTTTAATTCAGTTCTTTATCTGATCTTTCTTAGAGATTTTTAATAGTATATTGGATATAGATGACAGGATGTCACATCATGGTTTTAACATTGTGAGGCATTCAGAGAATAACCAGGCATCCCTTCCTTGATTTTTCCACTGTGACAGCTGTACTGCAGGCTTACGTTCATATTTATGTAAATGTTAAGTATTTTACTGTCTGGTAGTAAATTTTTTGCTTACATTTTCACAATACACCCTTTTCTCCTTCTATGGGTATACAATGAAAATACATGTTCAAACCAAATATTAATTTAATTGAAAACTTTTTGCTCAGTTCTTTTCAAGATCAATTCTTTTCAAAGAGTTGACTGTTGCTTTGCAGTATTGAAGACTTCAGCCTTCAAAGTAGTTGATGACTGAGGCTCATATCTGTTACAATCACATCACAACAGCAGTTTTTGCAATAACTTGTAGCTTTTGCAATTTCCATGCTCAGCATCTGTTCCGAGGTTAGGCTAAATAGGTATGAATGTTACTTCCCTGTGATGAGATATTACTGATAAATTTTCAGTTATGCAAGCAGGATCCTTTTTTTTCTCAGTTCTACCTCTTACCTGTAGTCTTTACATATGCAAAACCAGAAAGAATGAAATATTATAAACTTACTTAGACTATATAACTTTATCTTCATTATAAATTCCAAATTCTCACTTAGGTAAATAGATCTATTATGAATTCAGCATAAAACATTGAAGAAACTGCCCATTTTTCTGTATGTTTGTATATCACATAAAATACTTGGGGGTTAATACAAATTGATACAATTAGACCTTTAAGCAGAAGTCACTTCTACCTCCTAGATATT